ATTTGGTGCTGGTGTGGTTGCCTTTGATGAGGGGATGACAGCACTGTGCCCACTGTGGGAGGGCAGGGGGCCTCTGGCCTTCACTTCTGAATAACCCTTGTTGATTCCACGTAGGTGTTGGACGGCAGGTGCCACAAAAGCCTCCCAGAGGCACCGCTCGGGGGCCTCCCCAGTTAGTGCTGCCCCCGCCCCCGCCCTACCCTCCTCCCGACGCAGACTCGGCCGAGCCTCTCGGCTTTCCCGGGGAAGGCGCTGCTTCCGAGGCCTGCGACCTGAGACCCACACGTATGTGCCCTTGTTTTCTCGACCATATGTGTTGACCGCTCGTTCTCTGGTCCCTGGTGTCGGACTGTTTCCAGACTTTCCATTCTTGCCTTGGGGTGTTCGGGCCTCTCCTCTCCAGCTCTCCTTCCGAATGCTCAAAGCAATGCGTCCGTGTACCAGCGAGTGCCAGGCAGGTGCCAGGAAAAATGACTTAACCCGTTAATCATTCAGATTGTGGTTAGACTCCAGCCCAAATGGTACCGAGTGGGTGGAGAAGTCAGCTAGAAGCTAATGCTCCTCGCATTAGAACTGACCTCACAATGTCTGCAGATAGCGGCCAGCGCAGCCCAGCTGGTGAGCTCACCCGGGCAATGGTGGGTGCTGGGGGCTGCGAGCGGTGCCCGGACGGCAGCGAGTCAGAACCTGGGCCACGTGGCCAGTGAGCCAGCATCCGTCCCGTCACTCTGCCGAAAGGGGAGGCGACTGAGGCACCAGAATTTGAGTCTCGCTGGAGTTGAGTCCAGCCGCAGCAGAGCAAAAGGCTCGCTTTGTGTCTGTCCTGTCCCAGCCTGTGTGAGGTCAGGCGCTCCTTGTTCCTGTCGTTTCTTTTGGACAACGATACGCCCTGCGTGTAGCATCCCCGCCTGGACAGTTTTACCGCAGGCCCGGCCTCCGCCTGCATTTATCACTCCCTGCTCTGCAGACCAGACGAGCTGAGGAAACGCTCCTGACGCCCACTCGGCGCCCAGGGGCTACAGGGTCTGGCTGCTCGATCAGCTGGTACCTCAGGATGACCCAGTAGGGTTGGCACTGCTCTGCGTCTGACCTACGAGCCTTTGGAACCCGTGTCTCATGTAGACGTCCTTCCCATTGTCGG